CGCCGCGCGCGCAAATAGAAAAAACCCCCCCCAAAAAAAAAAAAAAAAAAAGTAATGGCTACTAACATCAGAACTGGACCCAAATATGTATACACTTTCAAATTAGTTACCTATCTTATTCTTTGGTCAAAAAGGTAAAATACTATTTGTTCACAATAGCACATAAGCTGCCCTCTTCCTCCCCCAATCCTTTTGTGACATTCCATGAATAATTTCAGATGAAATTCTTGGTGAGAGAAGAATTAAAAGTATGGACCGCAGACATTTTTTCCTTTGTTTCAAAGCACTAGAAAAAAAAATAAATGAAAACTGTCTCTATCAATTTAATATAGTCATTTCTCACTAAATAGATAAGAAATGAATATAACTGTGAATTTAAGTAATTTGTGAAAAATCAACTATTAAAATTCTAAAAATCCTCAAGTTTTAATAATCAAGAAGATGTTGCTGTGGGACCTACTACATGCAAGCAACTAATCTAGAATTACAAAAGAGAGTTGTGAAAAACAATTATAATCTATTTTTGTATGACAATCCCACTAGATAATTTTTTGTAATTTTCTTCAGGTTCTGCTCAGTCTCCTTACTATAATTAATACTGTTAATATCCTTTCAAAACTTATCTTTTTTATTTTTAAAAACATGTGACATTTAAAAGTGACATATTTTAAGAAGAAGTTTATGGAGATTGGTATCCAAATGTGATTTAAATAAACAATGCTATAATACACAATTAACTGAAATATTTGCAACTATGTATGTAAATGAACTATGAATGAAATTATTAGGTTAATTAAAAATTAAAAATTAATTAACCTAATAATTTAATTGCTTTATTGTATTATGTAAAAGACAACAGAATGTCACCATTTATGTAGAAACAGCTCTCACAAGTGTTAATGAATTTTTTTTTTTTTTGGAGAGATTTTCACTGTAGGGCGTGTGCGCTCGCCAGACAGACAGAGAGAGACATAGAGACAGAAAGCAAGAAATCACCCCCCAGGGGGGATGGTCACGCCGCAATCCCTTCTCCTCCATTCTCCTCTCGGGATCTTGGGCACGCACGCACATGCGCCCAGCGTGAGTTTTAAGCCACCGGGTCCGAGACACGAACCGCGGTCGACTACGTAGGAGTCCAGCGACATAGCCATTACGCTAACTGCTGGTTCCCACAAGTGTTAATGAATTTTGAAATAGATTTTAATATGCCATTGAATTTAGTCACTGGCTAAATGCATAGTTTCATATATTTAAATCCTATGTTTAGAAGTCCTGTGTTTAGAAATAATGCCCAGGAGGTTGTAAGTTTCAGGAGAGAAACAGAAACAGAAACATTTCTTTACTGGGATAAAAACAGCCCAATCTCCAGGTGCCTGATACAGCTGTACCTGCCACTTAGGTAATGTGTGGCCATGAGTCTGATTTTTGTATGCACTCAGGAAGTCAATTTACATTCTAGTGTCTAGTCACTGGGTGACACGAACACTCCTCTACTTTTTATATCATCACAAGGGTAATGACCATGGGCCCCAACAGCACTACAAATACATACTCTGCATGATCTTCGTTCATCTATTTTCCTTCTTTATAATTGTCTCCTTCCCTACAATTTCCAAAGGAACTGCACTCCCCTGCTTTCTCCATCCATATTACTTTCCCCTTCCAATTATTTTCCACTCACCACCTTGTCTCTTCAGGCTATTGTTTCCCATAAAAAAGGAAAATGAGGAAGAGAGAATTATGTTTGGCTAAATCCTTTTGGCTGAAAGTCATGCATCTTTAACTCTTTCTAGGAACCTTAGACAACTAGATGCTGAAGTGAATGTGGATGCTTCTAGAAGAAATCAGTTAGCCTGTGGTGCTGGCTGCAATAGTGCTACATTTCCCCATTCATGAGCACTCTCTCCTGTTTTCACTTAAGTATATCAGACTGTGCTTTTTTAGTATATTTAGTATATTTATCCATTTCCCCCAAAAGCAAGAGCAAGAGAGACAGACAGATTATGTTTTGTGGGCATGCACATGCCCAGTGTGTTCAAAGGTCTCTGGATGCGAACTCTGCACCTTCTCATATGGGGCAAACTTGCAGTGTGCTTCATAATTGCTGTCCCATAGTCCAGGACTTCAAACTACTTTTTAATATGTAAATTTTCTTCCTTCATTATTGGCTTGAACTTTCTCTGAATAGAAAACATCTGAACAAATGAATATGCACCAGAATGGGTATGGGTTTTAGAGGACATTTTTTTTCTTTCTTCTTTATGCCTTTATGTTTAAATTTTAAAATCATGAGCATGTGTTAGTTTTATTATCAGAAAAATCAAAATTCTATCTTTTTTTTTTTTTTGAGAGAGATTTTTGTTATAGAGCGTGTGCGCTTGCCAGAGACAGAAACAAAGAGACAGAAAGCGAGAAATCACCCCCCGGGGGGATGGCCACACAGTAATCTCTTCTCCTCCGTTCTCCTCTCAGGATTTTGGACATGCACGCACACATGCTCAGCGTGAGCTTCAAGCTGCCAGGTCCAGGACTTGCACTGTAGATGACTGTGTGGGAGTCAGAGATATAAACACTACGCCAACCACTGGTCCCTATTTTTATTTTAAAAACTGTTAATAATCTATAAGATCATTTCCTTATAGAAAGTTCACCTCCAGGTTTGTGGGGCATACTCAACCTCAATCTCTCTCTCTTCTAAATTCGCCTTCCTATTTTATTTAAATGATTGACATTAACCATTCTTTGATGTGTTTGAACTCTCACTTTTTCCTCCTGACTCTTTTTCCTGAGCTTCTGGTCCCTTGTACTTGGCTTCTCATTCCTGTTCTGCTTTGCCTGAATCAGGTCCAACCTCAGGATCTTGTCCTGTGTGTGGCAGATTGAAGGTCTGGAAGTCTTCACGGTGGCCACATACACTTACTACCACCATGTAGGATACTTCTGACCTTTGTTTTACACTGTCCTTCTGTGGTTTTGAATCTAGAGGCTCCCTAACTCAATTGGATGGCTAAACAGCATCTTAGGCTTCAGTCCTTCCTTGACCTTTACTCTTCCTTATGAAAAGACAAACTGTCTTACTGCCTCAGAGTTTGGTAAGGAGGCTGAAGAGCTGATTGGCATATGCTACACTGAGTTAATGGCATGTTGGGTCAATCATCTCTCCTAGAAGATGTATTTACATTGTTTATATTGATTGTAAATGTCTTAACCTCAGAGAATGACTGAGACCACGGGCTTAGACCATGATGAAGGTTGATGAGAGAGATCTTTTAAACCAAGTATGCTTTGAATATCTTCCAAGGCAAATACTACAGGCAGTAGCCTATTCTGACAGCAGATAAAGTTTTGTGAATGCAGTGTACAACTTTCTGAATGACTGTGGTAGTCACTCTTCATTCTAAGCAATAAGTAATAGAATCATATGACCCACTTTCTGAGGCCCTACTGTGGATTCAGGGTCTCCAGGTATCCCAGCTAACAATAGGGGACAACATTATTTTGAGATTTTCATTTGGTATAAGTGAGAGAGTCAATAGCTATAACAGAACAGTCTTTGATGGTTAGGAGCTGATTCAATTAGCACACTCTAGAGGAATCTGGAAGGAAGTAACATGGGCAAGGTTGAGGACAGAGTAAAGAGTTGAGTGAACCTATTGCACTAATCTCAAAACTTACATGAGCACAAGCATGAAGGAGCAAGTGGACCGAGACAGGGTGTGACTCAAGAGCATCTGTAGTCACAGACTTACCAGTATAAACTATAAAAACTGTACCTTCAAATAACTACCTCAAAAACAAAAACAAACAAACAAACAAACAAAAACAACCCAGAAGTAGAAATGAACAAGTCTTCTTTTGTGGATGGTACACAGTAACAGGAGAGCAGGAGAAGCTGGTGGATGTTTTATTAAAGCGAGGTTAAGGAATTCAGGTTAAATATAATCTGTCTCAAGCAACAGAAACTCTCCACAACCCCAGCCACTGCCAAATGGAATTTTACCAGGCTTCCAATATATGAAATGGACCATAGCAGAGATATTCTGTTTTATCTTGCTAATTTTAAAGTTAGTATCATTAATAGAACTTTTTTTTATTATTATTTTTAATACCAGAGGGCACATGCATGTGTGTAAGTGTGCGCATATGCACACAAGATAGAGAAAGAGAGAGAGAACTTCCCAATGGGGCCTGGTCATACCGTAATCTCTTTTCCTCCAATTTTCCACCCCATCAGGATCCTGACATGCACATACAGGGCATGTAATCCTCCAGGCCTAGGACTCAAACTCTTGTCAGCCATGTGGGATCTGACTTCCTCAACAAGGAACATAACCACTATGCTGCAGGGCAGGCCCTCATTTTTCTTTTACAGAGGAAAAAGAGATGCTCCAAAACTATAAGCATCCTCTTACCTTCAGGTATTTGTTTTTAATAGCTGCCTCATTGAGTCCTCGCCATTGGTCATCCTTGGCATTGGCCTCCTTTAAGTCCACAAAGTAACCAGTGACTGGAGTTCGCCCGGAGTGAACTGGAGGCTTCCACTGGAGAACCAGGGAATTTTTCCTGACTTCACTATACTTGAGATTGTGTGGTGGTCCTGAGAGACAGAAATCAATGAATAGAATTTATAATGTAAATATAAAAACTCAAATACAAGTACAGTTAAATTTTATTTCTTTCATGGGTGAGAGCAAGACTGAGAGAGGCAGAGAAAGAGGCAGGAATGTATCTTTGACAGGGTCTCATCATACCATGATCCCCTCCCCCAGCTTTCCAGCTAGCCAGGTTGCAGAATCTTAGCTGGACATGCACCCAGTATATTTCAGGTTGATTGGAGATTTAAAAATGTGGTCAGCCTGTGGCTTCTGGCACTGTGGGTAGGTACATTACTGCCTGGCTGGGTTAATCCATGTAAATTTAGGAGCACATTCAAGAAGTCTTAAGGCTGTGTTTGATACTGGTATTCTTTTTCTTAAATCTAGCATTGCTCTGAATTTTGTGGTCATTTCATATCAAGTTTTCACAACTGTTCTCCATCAAGTTACTAAGTCCTGTTATGGACAAAAAGAGGGCAAGGCCCTCTCAAGATGCCTCTCAGAAGCTAGATTAAAACTTTCCTTCAAGCCTAGCCACAGTAGTACACAGTGGTAAACTCACTGTGGAAGGCAGGCTAAGGCCACAGGGGAGGCCAGGTTTGATTCCTGGCCTGCCCTACAAACTGGACATGGTGGTCTGTGCCTATAGTCCCAGCTACTTAGGAGCCTGAGGCAGGAAGATCTTGACATAGATGTGTCATCCTTGTCTTCTAATATCTTATGTGGAAATATACTTAAATATTCTCCCAAAACACTGTATTCTAGTGTGGCATGTTTTGTTTTGTAAAGGGCTTTATGACTGTGCTCTCGTGACATCCTTAGAACCCAGTGAGACATTTAAATAGTAAGCTGTTTTGTTTCTCTACTTCACAGAGGAAGTAGAGAAGTTTCTCTACTTCACTCTATCTAAAATTCCACAGACAAAGACACATACAAAGAAAAAAAAAAAAAACAACAAACAAACAACTTCCTGTCAGGCTGTCCTTAGGTCTACATTAGTCTTTTTTTCTCTTTTTTCTTTTCCTTTTCTTTTCTTTTTTTCCCCTAACATAGGATTCATGTCCTTGCTGAAGACAGAGGACAGAGAAAGAGGGAAAGTGAGAAATCACCCACCAACCCCAGAGGGGAGATGGCCATGCCACAATCTCTTCTCCATTCTCATCTCAGGATTTGGGCCACACATGCACATGTGCCTGACATGCTTTACAAGTTACTGGGTCTGGGACTGATAGCCACATGAGATTCAGTGTCACTTGTTGGCCCTAGTTTTTTTGTTGTTGTTGTTTGTTTTTGCTAGAGGACATGTGCACTTGCCAGACAGAGAGAACAGAGATGTTAGATTTGACCCTGAATGGCCTTTAGGTCTTTTCCCATCAGAAATTAAGGAGATGGCTAAAATGATCTTTGGCCAGAACCCTCCACTGGAGCTCTCCTTTACTGGCAGTCCACACTCATAGATGAGCTCACAAGGTTACAATGGCAAGTAAGCCAATTAAAGTGCTCACCAGTCATTCTCATGACCCTCTCCCCACCTTCTCCACTCTCATATAAACATATCACATCTTCTTGGTAAGATGGGCTGAAGGATCTTCGGCTTCAAACCCCCATGCATACTTTCTCTCAATAAACTTCCCTTTTTCTTGAGATGTCTGTGTCCTGAGTCTTACTCTCAACTGTGATGAGAGACAAAGAGGAGAAACCACCCACCATGGAAAATGGTCAATCCCACCCCATCTCCTCTATCTCTCCTTACTGTCAGGATTCTGGGCATAAACACACACGTGGTCAACATGTTCCTCAAGCCACTGGTTCTGGGACTCAAACTTGTGCAGTTGGCCATGTGGGATCCAGTTGCCCTAACCACCAAGGCCAAAGAACCAGTCTTGAGTTAACTGCCTTTTCTCAGCACAGTCCTACTTGTCTGCAGATTCAGTTTCAGGTTATTTTTGAATAGTAGTCTAAACATTTCTCTCTATCTCAAATAGTATAAGAAAGCAACTTTATTTGATTGTATATAAATATAGATAATAATAGTTCTTTCAGAGGACAGGAATAACTTCCAATTGGAGGGAAATCTGTCCTCTACAGCACTGATCCCACAATGGGTAACAACAAATGACAGCTGAAAGTTTACAAAAAACTTTCACCAAGATAAACACAATCAATCTTAAGGGCCATCAATCTATGCTAAATACTACCAGGAACCTTACTATAATTTATTTCATTCATTCTTAACCAATTAACAGAAACTTCAGAGAACTCAAATAACTTGCTAATTCTCTAAAGGGAGAAAGTCTGAATATGCCCTAGGTATAAGCTCTTTGCATTCTTGGGAGAGTCCAAACTACTAAGTGATTGCCGGTATCTTTTCATGACTACCAGCTTCTATACAGGCGATATATTAATTTATCTTTTCCTTTAATTTTTCTTCCTCCTTTTTAAATGACAACTGATTTCCAACTAGCCAATCAAAACCATCAAAAGTGACCACAGTGACCTAAAAGCCAACTACAAACACAGACTCTATCATGCTACAATTTGGCATTCTGCATCAATAGTTCAATATTTGGTTGGCCTTTTATCTTGGGTATGAGTTACAAATATGCATCATCCTTGTCTCCTAATATCTTGTGTGGAAATATACTTAAATATTAACCCAAAACACTGTATACTAGTGTGGCATGTTTTGTTTTGCAAAGGGCTTTATGACTGTGCTCTTCTGCCATCCTTAGAACCCAGTGAGACATTCAAATAGTGAGCTGTTTCTCTACTTCACAGAGGAAGAACGATGTCCTACTGTTGTAGTTCCTCTAGTCTAGGAGAAGGAATACCTAGTTTCCAATCCTAGCTACCTATGTGCCACTTATCTGTGTGACCTTCATGCATCATTAAACCTGACTCTCAGTTATCTCACATGTAAAATGAAAAAAATGACAAAACATTTTTAATGCTATCTTCTGTAAGAGTTTTCTGGCTGTATGGCTTGCCTCACAGGACTCAGTAGGTCAAGGGTGGATCTGAGAAGCTAGGCTATCAGGACAGTGGAGAATTGCCCACTGCCCCATTCATTTCTTTTCTGAGTTATGAATGTTCACTCTGTGTTGTGGTTTGGATCATAGTTTGTTCCCCGGAGTTTTATGTTTTAGAATTTAGTCTTAGTGAGTGGTAGCTGTTATGGTGAACAGAGAAAATCATGTATTGGGACTTGACTGTACTGTAAAAGTTTTAAGTGAAAACTGAATTCCTTCAGGGTGTCCTAGGCTGAGGGCTTTACATGTGATAATGTCATTAGGGTGGGGCCTCTATTACTGAATTATTGGTAGGTATATAAGCAGAGGAAATGAAATCAGAATGGTAGAGAGAAAGCCACATGGACACAGACCATGTCCTGCTAAAAGTTCTGCCATCCACCATTTTGTGATACCCTGGGACTTTCCAGCCACCAGAACTGTGAGTTATAAAACTCATTTCTCTCTAATTTACCCAGCCTCACATATTTCTGTTAGATTAAGACACCTTGCAACCCTTTTTGTCAACAACATCAATTTCTACTGAAACATTTTCTACAGGCCTGCTCACAATCTCTTAGTCTCTAGTTATTTAGCTTTATTCAGGAATTACAAGAATTTCTGCCACTTTGTGCAGGTGGCAGAAAGAACTTAAGAAATACCAATGGGTTTCAGGGATGTACAAAGAAAGGCAGAGTGTTTTCCTCTTCATATTTGCTAAAGTTGAATGAGCACTTGAATTTCTCTTGAGTTATTTTATAATCTTTCTATTCACCCTTGACAGAGAAGTGATGCAGATGAACACTCACCAAGTGAAGGCAATGTGATGATTCCTTAAGGACAGAGGGGAAAGAGAGAGCACTGGGCAGGACTGCTGCCTACCCAGGGTGACTGGTGAGGCCCTAGGCTCTCATGGTGGATGGTGGTGTCACATCAGTTATTGGATGTGTTGCATATTAAGCCCAGGTAGAGAATTTAATCAACCTGTGGCACCCAAAGCATTTCAGTCTCTGATGTCAGTCCCATTGGAAACAAAATAGAACCATCCACAAAATAAATTAACTTTGCTAGTTTGAATCTTAATGGCTTACTCAATTTGTTTGTATTCAATTTTTATACTTCTTCAGTTCTATAGTTCTCAAAGAGTAATAAGCATAGGAATGTTTTTCTGCCTATTTCTAATTTTTTTTCTCAGCTCACTCAACTATTCCTTATGACAAACTCCAACAGGGATGATTTACCAGCCAGGTTCTAGGATATTTCTTGTAATGCAGAGTTTGGAAAACACAAAGAGAAAAAGGAATGGAGAAGTGAATGGAGAGAGACAAGTGGAGAAAAGCAGTTTTTAAGTCACAGGTGGGCATATTAATTTCTTGGTGATATAATGAAGAGCTATGAGAGAGGGAGGAGGAAAGTGATAACAAGGAAGAGAAGCCATGTAGGTTGGGTCTGGAGGAAGAGCTTTTGGGTGATTAATAAATGGGAGACTTTGCAGCGATTGGGAGAATACATAAAAAACAAGAAGTGCAGGGAGAAATTTTTGAGAAATTCTGTTGAAGGCTATGAATTAGATGTCTTTAAATGGCTTTAACGAAGCAAAAGCAAAATTGGAAATTCCTTTTAAATGCTCATTTGGCACTCAAATTGTAGCCTTCTGTCAATCCTATTCCATACAGAGGCTGAACTATAGGGGCTCTAAGATTATCTGGGACACAAATATAAGAAATTTACACTCAGCTTTATATAACTACTTATTACTTCATATTACCCCAAAAGTATTTGAGGTAAACATAAGGGATCAAGATAAGTCTTTTCTCCGTGTTGTCTATATAATACTTCATTTAGTTCCAAGTTGTTAGATTCTATTGGAAGAAATGGTGAGCCCAGTGCTAAGACATGGTTTCCATGGTTTACCTGGAACAGCAATGGTCCACTCTTCACATTTGAAGCATTCGCTTATAGCTGAGGGAGCTCCCAACCCAGCGATGTTCATGGCTGCCACTTGGAACTGATAAACTGTGTTTTCCTTCAAGTCGCTAATCTGTGACAATGACGAGAGATAGCGAATGTTTCATATTTGTTTTTTCTAATTGTTTAACATTTTATTTATTTACCTGTTGTGTTGCACACACCATAGGAAGACTCTCAATTTGTCATTCTGTTTTGTAATCTCCTCCCCTGAGTGTAGAGGAAACCATGCCCTGCTTGTAATAGGGTCATCACAGAGAGGAAAAATGAGCCACTGAATGGAAGAGGATACCATGCAACTTACAGAGCTGCAGATTTATACTCTTAATATGTGAACAACTTTGCAAATTAATAAGTAGCCCATTTGAAAAATGGACAAAAACTTGGAAGAGGCATGTTGTAAAAGAGGCTATCAAAATGTACCATAGTAAAAGATGTTCAGGCTCATTTGACATGAGTCAAAACTGAAAGTGTGTGAACATACTCCATGTTGGTGAGAATATAAAGAAATGGGAATTCTCATGAATGGGAAAACAGTATAGAATCAAAGTGAAAACAATCCATTCTTGGACCCAGCAATTTTACTTTCAGGTAATAACCTAGAGAAACTGGTGCACACATATACCAGTGAGAGTATACAGAAACTCCATAGCTCCATTATTTGATATAGCTAAACTGCAGAAATGCCCAAATAGTAATCAGTTATGGAACGGAAGAGTGTATTATATGATTATATGAGATACCATATAATAATGAAAAAGAATGAGTTATAGTTACAGGCACCAATGCAGAAGAATCTTAAAAATACAATTCATTTGATGAAATCTCAGTGTATGTATGATATTTCATAAAATGGAAATGGTAAATTAAAAAGAGCCCAGGCAGAGGAATTAGGGTACTATGGCTGGACCCACAGGGGGAGAGGTCCTGAGTGCATCCCAGGCCTACGCTGAGTATGGTGTGTGTGTGTGTGTGTGTGTGTGTGTGTGTGTATGTGTGTATGTATGTGTGTGCGCATGCATGTGCCTGTGGTCTTCACTGCTGAGGCTGGGGATACATCATAGCATGAAGACCTGGTTAAGGATGTTTCTCTCTTTCTCTCTCTCACAGAGAAAATGGACAGAAATACTTGGAACAAAAAATTTTATAAAAAAGAAAAAAGGAAAGTACCATTCTCCTGGCTTTGCCCTGTTTTGGTACATAGGGCCTTTGTGCTGAGTGATGGTTACTTGGACCTCACTGATGGTGCTCTAAAGAGGTGGGCCAAGGAGCAGAGGTCCCCATGTGGGGAGAATGCATGCGAAGCACCCCTGTGGCCATCAAAAGATGGCCATCAAGCTGGGAATACTCTACAGGTGCAGAGCTGAGTCCAGCCTCAAGCCCGTGCCCCTATATTCTTTGTAATTTGGACATTGAAAGTTAAAAATTGAGTCATTCAGATCCTGAAGCTAATGGCATTTTGGTTTTAGACATTTTTTAAGTTTAGAAAGAAAAAAGTTTTCATAAGTATGAATTTCATCTCTATTTCGATAGGGAGTCTAAGAAATTGTTTATGTGTATAAATCAGAAAAGTAAATCTTATGTGGTTAACCAAACTATTTGTATGCATATGCATACATACATATATTATGTATATGAATAAATCTTCAGAGGAGAGAGAGAGAAGAAGAAGGAGCACTTTCCAATGGGGCCTGATCAACATCACAATCCTTTTTCCTCCAATTCTTCATCCAGTAAGGATTCTGGGCACACATGCATGAGCCCAGCACATTTTCAAGCAGTTGAGCTGGGACTCAAACCTTGGTTGGCCACCTGGGATCCAGCTTACTGTGCACAGCACTAAACCACTGTGCTATGGGGCCGCCCCACCTAGGTATATTTTTCATAACAGGTATACAATTATGAACTATGAACGCTAGAGCAATAACACTAGTCCTCTGCCAGGTGTTGGGTGTGCATGGGTGTGTATGTAAGCATCTCCTCACAAACAGGGCATGCCACCCTACAGAAAGTCACATGCTTACCTTGTATGCGGTGTCACTGACAGCTTTGATGTTGGCTTCTCTCCATTTTCCTGCTACTCCACCAATGACCTCACGATAGTTCACAAAATATCCAGTAATTTCTGTTCCTCCAGTCTTATCTGGTTGCTTCCATCCAAGAACCATTGAGTCACGAAAACTTTCAAGACAAGTGATATCATAGGGTGGAGATGGTACCGCTGTTGCAACGTAAATAGTTTGTGAGTAGACAGAAATGTATTTATGATTCTATATATATTAAACTTGTTTAACTGGTGCCATGTATGAGAGCATTATATCTTAGAATGTAAAACTAAAACATGAGAATGCTCAGGAACTTGGCCTCCAACTTGATGTATGAGGAAAAAAAATGGGCACGTGGTAAAAAGTGCACTGCAATTGTTATTCCAAAGATTAAAAAGAACCTGACCTGGAAAAATGGTACACTATTCTGAAAAAGGGATCCTTTTCCCCATTAGGAAGAATTACTTTCCCTGAGGTATGTATTTTTGTTTCTTTAGGTAGTTTTGTTTTGATTTGCTCCCTAAAGAAAACAAAATGTATGTATCAATTTCTGCCTTAATTTGCTTATTTAGAATTTTCTTATATTTTCAAGTGGTTAGCGTTTCACCATTTGGAAACACTTAGACTTGCAAGACCTTACAATACAGATTCTGTCTGCACACAGGAAAAATCTTATTTTGGAACTCGCCTAAATACCATCTTTAAAAGATGTTTTTGGGCTAACTCATGGCATGGTGGTTAAGGTGGCTGGATCCCCATATGGCTGACCACGTGGTTCAAGTCCTGGATTCAGTGCCCTGAGAAATATGCCAGGAGCATGTTTGGGGTGTGTGCTCAAATCTTGAACGGAGGAGAAGGAATCACCACCCATTGGTGGTGATTTCTTACTTTCTCTCTCTCTCAGTCTCTCCCTGGTGAGCAGATGAACCCTCTGGCAAATTTTTTTTAAGTAAAATAATTTTTTAAAGAGGCACAGTCTGCTATGTGACTTTCTCTTAGTACATAATATTTTTGTTGCATTATTTTTAACCTGATGTGCAATGTTATTCATGTAGCGCAAAATATACAGAGCTGTCACCACTTTCATTAGTACCTAGCCAGAAAAACATTCAGAGGAAATATATCCATATCTATATATATCTATATCTAATCTATATCATCTATATCTATATCTATATATCATCTATATCTATATCTATCTACCTACCTATCTCTATCTATCATCTATCTATCTATCTATCTATCTATCTATCTATCTATCTATCTATCTCTATTATCTATCTATATCTATCGATCTATCTATCTTGCTATAGGGCATGTGTGCTTGCCAGAGAGAGACAGAGAAAGGGAGGGAAAGTAAGAAATCATTCCTCAAAGGGGATGGGTATGACATATCTCTTCTCCATTCTCCTCTTGAGATTTTGGACATGCACACACACAAGTAGTTTTTTTTTTTTAAGCCACCGGGTCTGGGACTCTAACCATTCAGTCAGCCATGTGGGATCTAGCTGCCTAAACCTCCAATACACCTGCTAGCCACGGAGGATATTTTTAAAATCCTCATCCATTTATGTGGTTATGCTGATCAACTTTTCACTCAACTACTAACATTATAGTCTTTGATAAAAAGAGAGAGAGAGTGGAGTCATGGCAAGAAATTCCCCTGGATCTACAATAGCATCAAAAGAGATTTTCTGAATATTTACTTGGATTACAGGAGATAAAGGAATTATACCATTCTCATTGTATAACATTCTTAACCAGTGGGTTAGCTATCAGGTCTTGGTGACCGTGAGGAAGGGTCTTTCTACTGCCCTTGAGGAGAGGAATAATAGCTTGATTCATGATCAAGCACTTTTTTCCTATATGTCAGGGAGCTCAGAAACCAAAATCAGTGTGCCTATTAATTTCTTGTTCACTTTGTAGTTTTGTCATTAGTAGACTGTAGTAGACGTCATCTATTCTTTCCGATAGTGGGTTAACCAAATATGATACTGGTTCCCTGGGGAGATAGCATCTGCCGCTGGCACCCAGAACACTCTGGAGAGATGGTAGAAGGAAAACAGGATATGGGCTTTGTGGTTAAGGATAAGTGGCAATTAATGGGATCCACAGATCCCAGAAGAACCTAGACTGATTAGTGGGACAGGACCAACCTTCCTGAGATATTTCCCAGTGTGTTGAATTCAGCACTTCTTGGGGGAATTCCACTTATTGCTGCTAACTGAACCACTGGATACGTGTAACTTTGATCTGTCTCTTAATTATGTTGATTACAGACAAATGTTGCTTCTATCTAAAGAAGATTCAAATTTAAATGATTCCCAGTTTATTTATTTTTAAAGAATTATTTATTTATTTAATTCCATTTGTTGTTATTATTATTATTAAATTTGACCAGAGAGAGAGAAAGGGAAAGCAAGAAAGCAAGCCGCCAGGTCCAAGACTTGAATGGCGGTCAGCCATGTGGAAGTCCAGCACCTTAACCACCACACCACCTGCCAGCCCAATGACTCTCAATTTAAATAATATATTTGAAGTAAATTTCTGATTATCTATAATAAATAATTAATTTTAAAATATTCTCAGAACAAAAAAGATTTAAAATACATTTCTCTCTTCCCCACTCACCAATCTCTTTCCTTCATCACGTTTTAATAAAAGCTCTCTCTCTCCTTCTCTCTCTATTTCTGAGCACTGCTGAACATGAACTCTCAAATGAATATCCCATTTCACCTTGATTTGAATGGACAAATAAAGGTATAAAAAAAATAGAGGTGGTTTCAGAAATCAGTGGTGGTATATAAATAAGGAATGGAGAAAGGTATTTAAAAATGTATCAGCATATGCTCACTTCATTTTTATTTGATAAGAAAAATGTGTTATTCCTGAATATATAGCCACAGGCACTACAAATCCTAACTGGATCATTCCTAGGTTACTGATGAATAGTCTTAAATAAATCAGTTCTGGGAATGTGGATCACATATCATAGGGTATTGCTATATGTGATTATAAAACCCTGTTAAATTTTCATAGCAAGTCAGAGATGATGTTACTTTCATTTATTTGAATTAAATGTGAATGATTACTTGAAAACTGAGGATGAACAACAGAAGCTAACCACTATTACCTGGGTACCATATGACTTCCTTGTGAAAAATATTTCCTATCTATGTACTGAACATAAACATTTCAAAGGACCTCACACAAGCTACAATTACCCAGTTCTCTATGCCCTCATGTCTAATTTTCTTAGCAAAATGAGTCCAAAGCTATGTCTGCCTGACAAACCAAAAAAGGGTCTATGACCAAATTATTCTACATATTGCATTTTAAGCACAATGAAAAATGTATAAAAATCAAATCCATATGCAATCACTTTTATAACTCGTTCGATGAAAGTATTTTAAATGACTAGTTGAAGACACGTAAGTTAAGAATAAACACTGATGAAGGCAAACACAGATGGAGAATGTGATCTGGACAATGAGAGGTGAGCACACTGATGGAGACAGATGGCACAGTTTCACTCTTTGAACTCTCACCTAGGTCCTTCTTCTTTTTCAGGGGTTCAGACTTACTTTTCCCCTTAGGTGCTGTTTTCTGTGATGATGGGGTAAGCTCTTCCTGAACTGTTTCACTTACTTTACTCACTTCTGTTTGTCCCAGCTTGTGAGAGCTACTGGGTAGTGAAGGTTTGTTAAGTTTGCTACTGAGCAAAGCATCTTTCTGAAAGGTTGGCAGGGAGGCTCCATGCACGCCCCCCCTGGAGTCTGTTAGTCCACCAGGCGTATCACTCAGTTCAGGCCACACCTCTGGAGAGACTCCTCCCCCTACAATTGCCAGATAACAACAGAAACACGTTGAGCCCAGACACAGTATAAATTGCTTTTATGTAATAGAACAAGGAGAAAAACATTCGGCACATGAGTAGAACAAAACAATCTTAGTTTAACAGGAATTATTTGGATTTGCAAGAAGTATGGAAAGCAGACATTTCACATAATTTACACCAAGGAACATTTCAACATTTCCATATTTTGGAAAAAGAAGAAATGACAATAACAAAAGACCCAAAACACACACATACACACACAGACAAAACAAAACTGTTAAAATTTGCAGAACCCAAAGACCTTTTAGTATATACAAGAACAAGTAAATCTCAGACATTTCTTGAGAGACATAGTCCTATTATTCAACAGAGTGATAAAAAGGACCATAAAATACATAAGACATAATATTAAAGACCTTGATTTTATAATAGTTAGAATTATGTACATTATTATAATAGTAATGGTCTATACCTCCAAATCTCAAAGATGTCCACTATTGTCCATATTGTAAGAAATGTTTTTAAAAAAGTAATATGGAATGTTAACTAAAGATGATTGCTGCTGGATGATCTCTTTTAAATATGTTATTGTAATCACAGATTTTATTTTTATTGCTCTGAACTACCTGAGTTCCTTCCCTGTGCAAGATTGGGAGGTACATCCATGCAATTGCTTTATTACTGGTTTTAATCTATCAGTTACTTTGCAAGTAGTGACAATACATGATGGAGCAGCCATACATGCCTTGCATGAATTTTAGAGATGTTTATAAGAAGCATGTTAATGAGCTGTTAGTGAAAACAAGCCAAGCTCTGCCATAGATGAAACTGCTTTTATGTACAAGATGACCCGTGTTATGGGTGATATACCACTCCATGGATTCGGGATGGCCCTTTGCAGTCCCAGGATGAGCATGAAGTTAGAATGGAATTTCACACAATGGGAAATATCTGAGAAAACTTGAACTCGTAAGGATGAAAAGGCTACAGATACGCAGATTCTGGGTAAGTGATGACGATCTGTAAAATGACAGCTAAGGAAGGTTAGATGTCACCTGAAGTCAGAGAAAATGATCATCTAAGGATGGAACCATGGAGCAATATTAGAAGCTTTAAACAATTCCTGGAGAGGAAGGTAACTGCCTCTACTAAAAAAAAAAAATCATCTTTTTACCTATAAAATGATGCCTAAGCAACTTACCTATAGCGGCTTTGACTTCAATAGCTTCTGAATCCTGGGAATATTCACTAAGTCCAGCTGCATTAACTGCCCTGACTCGGAAAATATAACTCTGTCCGGTCACCAATCCATGACAAGTAAATCTAAAATGAAAGAAATTTTTTTTATCTTTGGTAGGAGGAAAATTAAGGAAGATGATTGTTAGATGACTGAGTGATCTAGCTTTATGAAAATGATTAATCTTTATTATCTTTTTTAGGCAGAGATTTTTGCTATTGGGCACTTGCCAGAGACACTGAGAGAGACAGAGAGAAAGTGAGAAATCACTCCCCAGGGTGAATGACCACACTGCAATTCCTTCTCCTCTACTCTCTACCCAGGATCCTAGACACTCATGCACACGCGCCTGGTATGAGTTTCAAGCCTCTGGGTCTGGCCCTCAAATTGTGATCAGCCAGGAGGAAGTCCCAACACCTTTACCACTACACTACCTGCCAGCCCCCAAAATGATTAATTTTTTAAAAGAAGAAGATACAGAGAGATCCAGGTAACAATGTACTTTAGACAAGAAGGCAATTAACGCAATTTACTAAACTCACTGTCAAAAAATGAAGAGGCCTGGTTTTTGCCTGAATGCTAAGCAGTAAATTGGGGATTTCCATACAAAGTTAGCCATAAAGTATGAAATTACAGCCTGGGATATATGAGACATTTAATAAATAATAGGTAGTACTAATATCATTAGCAATTATTTTAGGTATGTACTATTGCTGCAAGGCATTGGCAGCCCCTTGTCACAGAGAGACTTTGTTAGTGTCTCCCTATGTGCCAGGGAGGTACAATTACTTTAGAAAATACTCCTGAGTCTGAAAATAAAATAAAAAAAAAAGAATTCCAGAATTACTACTTAGATATAAGGATCTAATAATGAGGTGTGACTCCATAGGCAATTTCACACATAAAACACCTTCACTCTTTAATAGCTTTTATGGCTATAAATAGCTGTTTCATAAATCACTGTATCATTCGAATCCATTCTAAGGACTGTGACCAGAGGAAATAATAGGTCTGTTAATGACTCTATTACCATTACCATGGTCAAACATTTAATAAAAGCGACCATAATCCAGGCCAGCGCTGCAGCCTTTAGGGTCAGCTTGCTTCAGAGAATATTTATTGAGCACTTCAGTGTCCCAGGCATTGAACTGGGTGTTATGGAGACAAAGATGAACAAAAAATGGTATCTGCCCTTCAGCCACTCCCATCTGCTGATGGAAAGGCAGAGTCTGCCTAAATCCACAAATGCTTCTAAATAGTCCCAGGAAAATGCCAGAAAACTCAGAGTGAAATTCAAATGTACAAATGGGTTAAATGAATCTCTTGTGAAGCATATTGTTTTCTCCTATTAATCAGTTTGTCTCTTTTCTCTCATCTATTGTAAAATAACCTCTTTATCCTGTGAGGGTCCTTGGACTTGAAGTAGCCTAAAGTAGAAGCCAACTGACAAGTCTATTTGACAATTTTGTGGTGAGAGGGATTCCCTCTCTCTCTCTCAGATTGGCCCTAAATCTCAGAGTCTGGGTAGACCAGAAGTCACCATCAGTTTGCAAAGTTGGTTAATGGAATAGTTGAAAGCAAGAAAAAAAATCTTTCCCATGTTATAAGTAGATACAAAGAAATGGTAAAGTATCCCGAATGCCCTTATTTTTGTGTTATGTCTGCTTAGCACTGGGTTTAATCATGTTGATGCTTATAATTTATAAATAGTTGATACTTTTTTTTCCTGTTCATTTCAAATGCCTGAGTAATTTATGTCAAGTAGAGCTTACTAAATTCATGGAATGTAGTATCACACTGTATATTAAAGACCAGTACAGAGGGTTTTAAAAAGGAAGATACCGCATAAAAGAAGAATCAGCAAAGGGCTATAAAATGAACTCTCATAATAGCTGGCATTACGTGTTTCTAAGTGTTTAATATTACAAATAAACATTTTTTCAAATATATTACATTAACCAAGTTCAATTTAAAATTCATTGGATATTTATAGTATAACACTTTTTTTTTTGGAGAGGTTTTTGCTATAGGGCGCATGTGCTTGCCAGACAGACAGAGAGAGACAGAGAGACAGAAAGCGAGAAATCACCCCCCAGGGGGGATGGTCACACTGCAATCCCTTCTCCTCCAGTCTCCTCTCGGTTTCTTGGGCACGCACGCACACGCGCCCGGCGTGAGTTTTAAACCACCGGGTCCGGGTGGAAAACCGCAGGCCACCACATGGGAGTCCAGCGACATAGCCATTACGCTAACTGCTGATCCCAACACTTATTTTTTGAGAGAGATTTTTACTATGGGACTTGTGTTCTCATCAGAGAAACAGAGACAGAGATACAGAAAGCAAGAAATCACTCCCCCAGAGGGTATGGCCATGCTGCAATCCCTTCTCTCCATTGTCCCCTCGGGATTGGGGCATGCATGCACATGTACCCAGCATGAGTTTCAAGCTGCTGGGTCCAGGACTTGAATTGTGATTGACCTTGTGGGAGTCCAGCACCTTAATGACTATGCCACTACTGGCCTCAGCATAGTGTTTTTAAAAATCTCTCTCCATTGGATGTTTGGTCTATGATGGGTGGAGAGTCCGCTGGCCCACCCCTCACACCCGGCTCCATTACCGTGATCCCTTCACGGGGTTGTTATTGCAGGGCTCCCACTTGCCAGAGCCGACCACACTGGACTCTATGTAGTACCCAACCAGCTCTTTAGCATCTTTGGACTCCTCCCAAGACACGACCACTGAGGTATCTGTATTTCTGCTTGGGATGATGTTGCCAGGGGCCTTTGGAATATCTGAGAAAAAAGGAAAACTGGTGATCAAGAACACAGAGGAATTTTTTAAAAATTCATTCTTATCATATATGCACAAACACACAAAGAAATTATATATAATCATGTCAAACATGCCATTGCATTATTTTATAATGTTTTTGTTACAGGAGAAATTTTTTAAATGTGATTTTGGGAGCATAATAATGACATAAATATCCATGAACTACAGAAAACATGCATTGACAATATTGCTGCAACTCCTGGGGAAGAGCCATCAACTGTTTATAATATGAAAGGAGGTCACCATCTTTCCTTGTGATTACACAGGCACATGTATGCCAGTGCACAGGAACGTCACAAAGTTCATGGAAGAACGAAATTAAAGTATAAGTTTACTTTGGTGTGAAAAAATTGTGTAATCCATGAACTGTTTTTTCATTATATACATTTTATCATGCACTTTCTGAAGACCTATTATAGGTATACCAATTTGATTCTTGCTTTGGTATTTTCCCTTTAAGTGAAATGTATTTATAGCTGCTTACCTAACTCTGCACTTACCAAGCTTGTCCCCTACCACAGTGACTTCCGTTGCTTCGGAAGGCTCACCAACTCCTGCTGAATTAGAACAGAGACCAACGCCTGCTGAATTAGAACAGCGGACACGGAAGCAGTAGGACTTCCCCTCAGCCAAGTCAAACAGAGCAAAGCGGGGGGACTTCACAGGGAGCTCTGTGTTCACTCGCTGCCAGTTTTCGGTTCCTGCTTCGCACTGCAGCAAAAACAGTGAAACTCATTGAAACCACAGCAAGTACAGGCAGGAAGTCTAGGCTAGGCATCCTGAGCGTATGTGTGTCCCCCCCAGTCCCCCGTGTGGTTTTGAACTGCCAGGTCCAAGACTCCAAGCCTGGTTGGCCATATGTGATGTGACTTTAATTGCCATCCACAGGTCTGATCCTAAAATAAGCAAATTTGACAAGATACCTCTGACATGCCCTATGATGTCTTTTATGATAATGTGTAATTGGTGTGTGAGAGGGTAGAAATGTGGGGCCTATTGAGGGATGAAATTCTCCCAGACCTCTAAATCTTCTTCTTTTTTTTTTTTGGAGAGGTTTTTGCTATAGGGCGTGTGCGCTCGCCAGACAGATAGAGAGAGACAGAGAGATAGAAAGCAGGAAATCACCCCCCAGGGGGGATGGTCATGCCGCAATCTCTTCTCCTCCATTCTCCTCTCAGGATCTTGGGCACGCACGCACACGCGCCCGGCGTGAGTTTAAGCCACCAGGTCCGGGACTCAAACCGCGGTCGACTACGTGGGAGTCCAGCGACATGGCCATTACGCTAACTGCTGGTCCCCCAGACCTCTAATTCTTTATGGTTTTGCTTCATATTGACATATCTGCCCACCCCTGGGGAATATCTATACAATTATTAGTCACTTAAACTTCCATAATAAAAATAATAGCTGCCTTTCACTGTGCTAAGAACCTTATAAGCCAATACAAACCTTCAACCTTTTCGGCTATGCTACGAAGTAGGTAGTGTGTAGGTAGTATTACTTGATTATCAAAGCTTTCCAGAAGAGAAGATTTGGGCTTAGGAGGAATGAAAGGCAGCCCACTGTAATAGCTGGATTTGTGAACCTGAGCCAGACTGCCTGGGCTCAGCTCCTAGCTCTGCCTCACATCAGCTGTGTGGCCATGGGCAAACTATAATCCCCATTGATGCCTCAATTCTCTCACCTATTTACCTCTGAGGGTTACTAGAAAATTAAGTGGACTAACAAGTGTAGAGAGCTTAAAACAATATCTAGTCCATGATAAACATTGGCTATTTTCATTTCTGCTGATATAAACAGAGCCGGCAAACAATGTAGTCCTTTTCTCAGACATAACCAGATTTTTGACAAGGGAGAGAGAGAAAGAGCTCAAGACATAAGCCACCTGGCCGACAAGAACACAGTACAATAAGGAGGCTGGGAATGTGGAAAACTGATTAATCTGATTCTCCTGCTAATAAATGCCTCTATTTCAACCCTGTCAGGGCTGCTGGCCATGGTATAACTGAGTATAAGCCTCTATCCATGACAAGAAAGTTCATATTTTATGTGCATGCATATCCCAGGTAAAAAGTTCTGTGAGGGGCCACTAGGCAGTGTAGTGGTTAAGGCGTTGAACTCCCACATGGTTGACTATGGCTTGAATCCTGGACTTCAAGCCCAGTGTCTTGAAACTAATGCTGGGCATATGTGTGTGCATGCACAAAATCCTGAGAGAAGCATGGAAGAGAAGGGATTGTGGTGTGGCCATCCCCCTGGGGAGGTGATTTCCCACTTCCTTTCTGAGTGTCTTTCTCTGTCTCTTCTCAAGTGCATGCATCTAATAGCAAAAATCTCTCTCAAAAATAGAGAAGGAAAGAAAAGAATAAAGTTCTGTGAAAAAGTATGAGAACAAGGGTAACCAAAAACTCTGTGGGTGTATGAATATTCTGGGGCTGGAAACATGCCATGGAACAAGAATGAGTGAATCATTTCCCTTTAGAAAGGCCAAGATGTTAGACATGGTTCGTTAGAAATCATTTAAGACTCAGCACAGAATGGTTTGACATTGGATTGCTTTGTAAATGTACCCTGGGTCTTTGAACATGCTCTGCATCACCAATACCCCAATAACTGACGTGTTCTATAAGTGAGGAACATGCCCTGTATAGGCTTCTCTACCCACCACGGGACTCATAAACGTCCCCTTCTACTGCATACAAATAGGTATGACGATAAAAGAATATTTACATTTTAAATCCCAGACTCATAAGTATGTATTCTGAAAGGTAGAGACTTTTGTGGAGAAATTAGAGTTTACATGACCAGAGAAAATAAGCCAACCTTGACTCATCTGAAGAAAATGCCTCAGAAGTAGGTTGTTATGAGTCATTTTTATAGGGAGGTTGGTAATTACTGTCACAGAGGCTTTTCAGAACTCTCTTCCTGTAGAGTGCGTCAAAGAGACTCAGTGAATTGTGTGTTAAACATACCAGGAAATGAATATTTATCTGTTATTCTATTCTTCTCCTTTATTAAAAAAAAATTTAGGATTCTACTGACTGAAGTCATATTTTATTTGAGGCTAATATAAAAAAATATAAACTTTCAATATTTTTATAAAACCAGACTGTTCTGGAAGATGTTTATGCATACTGAAGATGTATTTATTGTTAATTTACTAGCGATAAGAACGAAGTAAGGAGTATAACACCAAAACATGAGCTAAATGTCCATCTTATAAAAAGTTAATTAATAAAGGGAAGTCATAAGATGGTAGCATTTTAGGATCCAGTGTAATTGTCTCAAGAGCCAAAGACATGTAATAATTAAAAGGTCATAAAGATATCTGTATATTGCATTTATGGTGTTATCTAATTTGCAGATATTTGCATATACTTATATACCTATGAGATTTATTCTCTTGCCATATTGTTAGGAAAGGTGACCTATAAGGTATCCTGAAATTGAATGATCAGAATAGCTTTAAAAATAAAAGACCCTTTAGAAAAATTAATCAAGATCTATATTTTAAAAATATTATTTGTATAATTTTGCTATGAAAGTAAAATGTAAAATAAATTATACCTTTTCATGCCATCACACAATTTTGTAAAAATAAAATTTTAAAGTATACTTATTTCACTTATTGGTCTAAAGAAGTGGTACATCACTACCAATAAAAATATAAATGTTTTTACATATAAGATAATCAACATTTCATTTGTCAATTATATACTAATCAAAACTTTCTTTTTTTAAAAAGACTTTATAACAAAAAGATTTTGAACCTCATTTAAGTAGATTCTTTCTAAATATTCATTTCCAGTAGCCATGATCCAATTAGCCATTTTAAATTTTTTTAGAGAGTTTTTTTGCTATAGTGCATATGTACACACCCAAGAGACAGAGACAGAAAGACAGAAAACAAGAAAACATCCCCTAAGGGGCACGGTCACACCACAGTCCCTTCTCCTCCATTCTCCTCTTAGGATTTTGAGCACACATGTACACATGCCTGGTGTGAGTTTTAAGCCGCCAGGTCCAGGATGCAAACCACAGTCAGTCATGTGGGAATCCAGCAATGTAACCATTATGCCATCTGCTGCTCCCATCAATGACTTGTTGTAGCTCTTAGACATGGGCCTGCCTGGCAGACTCTCCTATGTTTTTGTACTTGTAACTAGGTCAGATGCCCTAAATAATGTCCTGTCCAGGTCCTAGCTTTTCTTGATTTTCTGGACATAAATGCTTACTAGAATTGTCCTTTGGGGCTGGGTGGTGGTGCAGTGGTAGCGCAGATGGACCCATATAGGAAAGGTACTGTATTCACGTCCAGGAATTTCCTTGGGCACACTGGGCATACACATGCACGTCTGTGATCTGGGCCAGTTATACTGGGGGTATATCGTGGCATGAAGACCCTATCTGGGTTACCAATCTCTCTCTCACTCTCTCTCTCTTTCTCTCTTTGCTTTCTCGCTCATGAAATAAATCATATTTTTTAGAAAAGAGGACCAGCAGATGGTGTAATGATTATGTCGCTGGACTCCCACATAGCTGACTGCAGTTCAAGTCCTGGACTTGGCGGCTTAAAACTCATGCTGGGCATGTTATGTCTGTGTGACCAAAGTCTCGAGAGGAAAATGGAGGAGAAGGGATTGTGGTGTGGCCATCCTCCTTTGGGGGTGATTTCTCACTTTCTGTCTTTTTGTCTCTCCAGCAAGCTCACGTGCCCTATAGCAAAAATCTCTCAAAAATAAATAAATAAATAATAATTTAAAAAACCCTCCTCTTTAATGAGTATATGATAAATCCCACACCATTCTCATCCATTCCACCCATTCTAGACCATCACTGCATGCCGCCCTCTCTAATGTTCTAATCCCTAACATAATTATGAGCTTTTTGGGGGAAGAACTAGCCAATATCCTTGTTGTTTTGTAATCCCTTGTCCTAGTCTACTGTCTGTATACAGAGTCAAGCTAGCCAAGCACAGTGGTGGAGGGCTTGCTATCTATACACATTTCCCAGCTATCTGAAAATGTTGCAGGGCTGGCAGATAGTGTAGCAGTTATGTTGCTGGACTCCCATATGGCTGACTGTGGTTCGAGTTCCAAATCCTGTGACTTGAAACTCATGCCAGGTGTGTGTGTGTGCACCAAAATCCAAGGAGGAGAGTGGATTGTGGTATGGCCATTTCCCCTGGAAGCTGATTTCTCACTCTCCCTCTGTCTCTGGGGAGTGCCCACACCCTAAGACAAAAACAAAACAAAACAAAACAAAACACTCTAAAAACAAAACTAAAACAAAAACAAAGAAAATATTGCAATTTCTCTATATTGTACCTCTCTCATCTACCCTCACTGATATTAGCTCTCTACTAGAGAAGGGCAAGTGGTAAAAAGATAAAAAGCCATTACCAGAGCAAGGGAGACAGAAAAAGTCCCTACAAAACACTGTCATATAGACAATCTGCAGTTTCAGGGACATTTTTCTTCTTATAGGCCTTATCATTTTGGGTTTTGGGACCTTTTCTGGCGTCTCTGTTTGAGGAGTTCATAAACCCTCTGAACTTTCAGGCAAAGTTCTGTGAGATATATATTTTTCTTTTCCTTTTCTTTTCTTTTCTTTCTTTTTTTTTTTTTTTTTTAAGAGAGAGAGTTTTGCTATAAGGCGTGTGTGCTTGCCAGAGAGATAAAGAAAGACAGAGAGACAGAAAGTGAGAAATCACTCCTCAGGGGGGGATGGCCACAGTGCAATCCCTTCTATTCCAATCTCCACTCAGGATTTTGGGCATGCACGCATACATGCCCGGCATAAATTTTAAGCTACCAGGTCTGGGATTTGGTCAACTGTGTGGGAGTCCAATGACATAATCATTATGCCATCTGCTGGTCCTGGGATATATATTTTTCTATTGAAAGAATTTACACTTCCTAAAATGTAGAGTTGGGTAAGTTCCCCTTCCCTCCTCTATTACTCCAAATGTCCCAGAAATTTAATCTTTATTTTCTTTTTCTTTTCTTTCTTTCTTTTCTCTTTTCTTTCTTTTTCTTTCTTTCTTTCTTTCTTTCTTTCTTTCTTTCTTTCTTTCTTTCTTTCTTTCTTTCTTTCTTTCTCTCTTTTCTTTCTTCCTTTCTCTCTCTCTCTCTTTCTTTCTTTCTTTTCCCAGACAGTCTTACTGTGTTATGATCCTCCTGCTTCATCCTCACCAAGTTGCTGGGATTACAAACACACAGCTGGTCTTTATATTGGACTGGGAATGCCTCCCCTGTGTGGTCCCAGGCTAGAGAGCAGTGTCTTAGCAGCATCCCCTTTCTATAAAGAGAGCTGTAGAAAGTAGTGGCATGAGGTAATGTTGATTCCAGAGTCTTACCTTTTCTACAAAGTACATAATGCCCTCATGGCCACGCTGGCCAGGAGGCTTCCAGCTTAGCACCACATAGCTCCGGGTGGCCTCAGTAACAGAGAGGTCTGTGGGAGGCCCAGGAATAATACCCTCTGAAAAACAACAAGAAAAAAATGAGGAGCCCATAGTTTGAGTAGCTCAGGATACTCAGAGAGTCCTAAGATGCATCTCTTCTCCCTGAGAAAGAATTAATTACAGCTAGCTCCACACAAAAATTTTGTCTATAAACTTCTCCCTACAACATCATTTATTCATTCATTCATCCATCTAATTATTCAAATGTCATTGAGCAAATACAGTACAGAGCTAAGGAACCTGTGACACTATTCTTATCTTTGAATAGTTTACAGCTGAGTTGATGTAAAGGAAAGTTGAACTGCACAGGGCAGAGCGTGCTCATGTGCTAAAGCACACAAAGGAGAGCACAATGGAGTAGTTGTTTGTGATATAGTCCACTTGCTCTTCACCCTACTGACCCAGAACCCAATAGTTGCTAACCACAATAAAGCCTGATGGTCAACACCAGAGTCATGTAAACAAGTTCCCCATTCATATGTATTTTCCTTAAACTAACTAATCTGCAACATCTGTGAGGAAACCTAAGTGACAATGCCCATGGACCCATATAGGCCTAGGTCCACAGGTTCTCTCTTGCACCTACGTATTGGTTGAGCTTCCTGCTACTTAACAAAAGCAAGCCTTGAAAGGAGCATACTGTTTTCCCAGAACAAAACTCAAGAATAGAACAAGAAATACGAACATATCCAGCACCAAATAATGTAAACTCCAAATGTCTGGAGTCTAATAATGTTTTTATTTTTTTTTCTTACGATTACCAAGTATATAATGAAGCAAGAAAATACAACCCATCATGAAGAAGAAAAGCAATCAATACAAATAAAACTAAAAATGTCACAGATGAGAGAATTAGAATCATCTGTGAACTACTGAACGAGAATTAGTAGACAAACACATAAAACAATCATTACACATACATGCCGTATGTTCAAGAGGGTAAAGACTGAACATGTTCATTAAAATATGGAAAATATAAAAGTGATCGAAATTGAACTTCTAGAGGTGAAAACTACAAAGTCTAAGATAAAAATTGCACTGGACTTCACAGCAGGTTAGCCACCGAAGAAGAAAACGTTAGTGAACTTAGTGACATAGTAATATAAAGGATCTGAAATGAAACACAGAAAGAAAATCACAAAGGAAAAACACACAGCATCAGTGAACTGAAGGATAATTTCAAGTGGCTTTGAGTGGCATGTTATTGGAGTTCTTGAAGGAGAAAAGAGAGAGGGAGCTACAGGGAAAAAAATTAAAGAAATAGTATAAAAAATTTCCAGATCTAATAAAAACTACAAACCTACAGACCAGAGAAACTTGATCATTCTAAGCACAAGATACATGAAGAAAATTACACAAATGCACATTGTAATCAAGTTTCTAAAGCCAGTGATAAGAGAATATCTTTCAAAAATTATTATTTTCTGGGGATGCCTGCGCTCACCAGTTAGAGAAAGCCCTAGTGGGGTGTGGTCATATCACAATCCCTTTCCATTTCTCCTACCCATCTGGATTTTGGACATGCTTGCACACGAGTTCAGTGTGCTTTTCAAGCCACCAGAGCTGGGATTCAAACCACAGTTGGCTCTGTGGGATTGGCAGCATAGCTCTTAACCACTGTGCTGACGGTAGAGAATATTTCCTCTTTTTTTGGTTTTTTTTTGCAATGGACATAATATGACATTTAATAAAACAGCTGATTGGGCTAAAAACTTGTATAGTCCTTTTGAAGAGCAATTTCTTAATTTCTAGCAAAAATTTTATAATTTAACATAAATTTCTACCTAATTATTTTACTCCTAACAATTTATTCTTAAGGAAACAATAAGAGATTTTTTGTGAAAGGTTATTATAAAGGTACTATTATGAAGATAGTCATCAGTATTTATATACAGCATAGAAATGGAGAAAGCATAAATATTTAGTTATAAAGGCATGGTTGAATAGATGTTAGTGTATCTATAAATGGAATATTTATTTATTTTTGATAGTTTTTTATTTTATTTTTACATTTTTCCACAAACATTTACTTTACACATCTAAAAATTTTAACTCATACTCCATAGTTCTTGAAAGTTAATAAACAACTTTCCAAATTTCAAAATATTTCTTGTAATTTTGTATTATTTTGTTTATGACTCTATAACAACAGAAACAGTATGGTTTTAAATATTTTTGAGAAAATATTTGCATGTCAACTACTCAAATTGCTTTTCAGCAAATGCCCAGCACACTAATCACACATAAACCTTCTCAATTCAGCCCTGTCCAAGTGTATTCTGTGATATACCATCTGCTAGCAAAGATTAGTCTCTTTTTCTTCCTTCAAAGTCTTTCTTAAGATAATCCTCTGGTTGTGGCTGCTCTTTTGCAGTCTCTATTGATTACAATGCTGGGCTGAAAAAGTCAAGGTTATTTTATGTTATAAATTCTTTCATATAGCTTCTCTTATTCTCTCTGCCAGGCAGAACTATTTATGCGGCCAGGCCACCTTTCTAAGAGCTTCTGTTAGCTTAATTGAGGTCCACCTTAGTTCCAAAGTTTTCTGATTAATCTTCAGATATGACATTCCAGTCAAAGCCCTGTCCAATAATGAGTATTTCCGATTCTTGAATCAATGCAACAAGCATTATTGAACTTATGCAAATAACCCTTCTCCCACAAAATAAGAATATTCCTAAATATTTTCCAATTCCAGAGGGATCAGGAAGGAAGAAAAGTTTATGTTTCCATTTAAAGAAACAAACAAGAAAAATATTTTAACATATTGCTAAACCTATCAACAACTGAAAAGAAAGCAAACTGTTTAAATTGGGAAAACAAAGCATACTTAAAAAAAAAAACAGTAATGCTTTACTCAAAAGTCATATATTTCTAAAGCAGCTGCAGAAAAGCAGACATAGTACATACTGAATAAAAATGCAGTCTTTCTTGCAGTGCACATCTGCACAATGAATCAAGCTCTCTAAAAGTACTGAAAGAAAAACTGTCAATCTGGATTCTACATTCAGAAAGGAAAATATTTCAGAAATGAAGGATATATAGAGACTTAAAGTACAAAAGACTAGCAATTCACAACCAGCAGACTGCACAACAAGAAATATTAACGGAAGTGTTTCAGCTGGAAACAATATCAGGTAGAAATCTGGATCCATGAAAAGCAATAGAAATGATAAAAATGTGATTAACTATTTAAAAGTTTTTGTCTTTTTTTTTGGGTTTTAGTTTTTTACCATAGGCATGTACACTCACAGGAGAGACAGAAAGATAGTAAAAGAGAAAGTGAGGATTAACCCCTCAGGGGGATGGCCACCACAATCCCTTCCCCTCTGTTCTCCTCTCAGGATTCTGGGCAAGCATGCACATGTGCTCAGCATGATTTTCAAGTCACTAGGTCTGGGACTCAAACCACAGTTGGTCATCTGGAAGTACAGCTTCTTAACCGTTACACCACCTACTGGGTCCTTTTCTTACTTTTTAAAACTCTGAAAGATATGTGACTAAAATCAAAATAATAACACCATTTTGTAGTCATTTGTAATATATATACACAAATAAAATGTATGACAGTAATAACATCAAAGCTAGGATGGAGAAATGGAATACTGTTGTAAGTTCTTACACAGAAAGTGAAGTAATAAAATAAATAAAATAACAAATCCTAACAACATTTTCATAAATAAAATTCAACAATATATAAAAGAATAAAAATAAATAAGATAGGCTGTAAAATATGTACAGTATAAAGTCCAAACTGCTCAAAAGCAAAACAAAGAATTTTATAGCCAGTGGGATAACAAAGGTAAAATGGAACAATAAAAAATCCTGAGTCTGAAAGAAAGTAGAAAAAGAAGAAAAAGGAAACAAATGGAATAGACAGAAAACAAATTAGATAGATTTAAATCCAAACATAATAGTCACATGAAATGCAAATGGCTGAAACACTCCAACTAAACGCAAAGATTAACATACTGGATAAAATCAAAACCCAATTATACACTGCCTATAAGAAACACAGTTTAAATATAGACACACTTAAATTAAAAGTAAAAGGATGGAAATAATATGCACAGAAACACCAAACAAAAGAAAGCTAGAAATCAAGTAGACTGTCAAACAAAAATATTACTGTAGTTAAAAGGTACAATGATACACTAATAAAGTAGTCAACTCATAAGAGGGTATAACAGAAAAAATGTTTACACACCAAATAGCAAAGTCTCAACATACATGAAGCAAAATCTGGTAGAACTGAAAGAATAGGTTAAGTCTATCATTTAGTTGGAGATTTTATCACTACTCTCCCAATAAACAACAGAATAAGTAGATAGAAATTATTAAGGATATAGTGGGATCAGCAGATGGCATAATGGTTATATTGCTAGACTTCCATGTAGTCAACGGTAGTTCGAATCCTGGACTTGGCAGCTTAAAACTCATGCTGTGTGTGTGTGTGTGTGTGTGTGTGTGTGTGTGTGCATACCCAAAATCCTGAGAGGAGAATAGAAGAGAAAGGATTGCAGAAATCCCCCCACTAGGGTGTGATTTCTTGCTTTCTGTCCCTCTGTCTCTCTAAAGAGAGCACTTGCCCTATAGGAAAAATCTCTCTTAAAAAATAAGAAAAATAAAATTATTAAGGATACACAAGAGTTGAACAATTCTATCAGCATACTTGACTTAATTAACATTTATAAAACTCAACAATAGCAATATATAATGCTTTTCAAGTGTGCACTGAATACTTAGGAAGACATTTTTTCTGAGACATGTTTAAATAAACTTAAAATCATTAAAATCACACAAAATATGTTCTATTTAATTGCCATATTAGAATTAAATTAGAAACCAAGACCAGCCAATGTTATAGCAATTAAAGCAAATGGATACCACATGACCGACTTCATGGTTCAAGTCACAGACCAGTGGCTTGAAAAAATCACTCTGGGGACCAGCAGTTGGTGTAATGGCTATGTCCCTGGACTCCCATGTAGTTGACTACGATTTGAGTTCCGGACCGGGTGGCTTAAACGCATGCCAGGCTCTTCTGCATGCACGCCCAGGATCCCAAGAGGAGAATGGAGGAGAAGGGATTGTGGTGTGGCCATCTCCCTTGGGGGGGTGATTTCTTGCTTTTTGTCTCTCTATCTCTGTCTTTCTGGTGAGTGCATTGCCCTATAGCAAAAACCTCTCCAAAAAAAAAAAAGAAAAAGAAAGAAAGAAAGAAAGGAAGGAAGAAAGAAAGAAAGAAAGTCACTCTGGGTATGTGTGCATGCATGCCCAAAGTTGCATTAAGAGAACAGAGGAGGAAGGATTACAGTGTGCCCATCTCCCCCCAAGTGGTTTCTCACTTTCTCTCTTTCTCTCTCTGTCTCTGGCACACACGCACACCCCATAGCAAACTATAACAATAATAATAATAATAATAAAATTTAAAAAATAAAGTAGAAACCAATAAGAGATACCTGGAAAATCTCTCAATGTTTAGTAACTAAATAACAGATACCTCAAATAACCCATGTATCAAAAAGATGTCAAAAGGAATTTAAAAGTACTTTGAACAAAATAAAAATTAAAAAAAATAGATCAAAATGTGTGAGAAATAACTAAAGAAATAATTAAAAGAAAGCATATAGCACTAAAAGCATATATTATAAAAAAATCTCACATTAATAGTCAAACTTTACACCATAAAAAATCAGAAAAATAATAAGTGGAAGAAATGAAATAATAAAAATAAAAACAAAATAAATAATATTTGAATCAAAAAATAGAGAAAATCTATGGAGCCCAAATGAACTATCAATTAAATTGATAATCCTCTAGTCGGATAAATGAGGATGAAAAGAAGTAAGACAAAAATATAAAGAATGAAAGATAACATCACTACAAAGTCTACAGATATTAAAAGGATATTAAGGACGGGAACCAGCAGTTAGCTTAATGGCTATGTCGTTGGACTCCCACGTAGTCGACCGCGCGGTTCGCGTCCTGGACCCGGTGGCTTAAAACTCAAGCTGGGCACGTGTGCGTGCGTGCCCAAGATCCCGAGAGGAGAATGGAGGATAAGGGATTGTGGCGTGACCACCCCCCGGGGGGTGATTTCTCGCTTTCTATCTCTCTGTCTCTCTTGTCTGTCTGGTGAGCTCACGTGCCCTATAGTGAAAACCTCTCCAAAAAAAAAGTATATTAAGGAAATATGAACAAGTTTATGAATGAACTTTCATTTCCTTGAAAGATTCAAATTACCAAAAATTACTCAAGAAGTAAATGTTCTGAAGAGACATAATGTGTTTTAAGAAATTGGATTTGTAGAGGCCAGCAGAGGGCATAGTGATTATGTTGCTGGACTTCCACATGACCAACTGTTCAAGTCCCAGACCTGGTGGCTTAAAACTAATACCAGGCATGTGTGTGTGCATGACCAAGATCTCGGGAGGTGAAGAGATTGTGGCATGACCATTCCCCCTGGGGGGTGATTTCTCTCTTTTCCTCTCACTGTCTCTGTCTCTCTCTCTCTCTCTCTGTAGTGAGTGCCCTAAGGCAAAAGTCTCTTAATAAATAAATAAAATTGAATTTGTAGTATTAAGAACATCTCAAGAAAAAAAAAAATCTAAGCCTCGATGGCTCTACTGGTAAATTATATGAAACATTTTAGAAAGAAACAATAAAACTTCATGGAAACTTTGAAAATCAAAATAGAGAAAATCCTTTCCAATCTATTTAATGAGGGTAGTAACAAAACCAAAGAATGTACTATGCCAAACTACAGACTAATATTTTTCATGAATTCAGATGTAATAATTTCTAAGAAAATGTTAGTAGATAAAATCTAACAATATATAAAAGGATAATATAGCATGACCAAGTAGAGTTCATCTCAGGACTGCAAGGTAAGTTTAACAATCTAAAAATCAGCCAATATAATTCATATGTCAATGAAAAAAGAAAACTCATATAATCATCTTAATAGATACAGAAAAAGCATTTGACAAACTCCAGTATCCCTTCCTGATACAAATGCACAGCAAATAAGGTTAGAAGGAATCTGCCTCAACCTGATAAAGGTCGTCTATTAAAATACCTATGTTAATGTTTGACTTAATGGTGAAAGACTGAATCCTTTCTCCTGAGATCAGGAAAAGGAAAGAAGTCCAGTCACTGCTACTACTTGTCAGGATTCCAGAGGTTCTAGCTGAAGCAATTAGGAAAGAAAAAGAAAGAAACAGCATCAAGATTAGAAAGGGAAAAGTTAATTTATTTTTATTCAGAGATGATGTAATTCTGTATTAGAAAATCCTAAGGAAAACACACACAGACAAATCCAAAACAAACAAATGATTCTGAGAACTAATAAATTAGCTTAGCAAGGTTGTGAAATACAAGATCAATATACAAAAGACAATTGTATTTCTATATACTAGCATAAAAAATAAATTGAAATGTACAGGACCTGTACACTGAAATTACTAAATTGAGAGAAATTTTAAATAAATGGAGACATATGCTATGTTCATGAATTGGAGAACTTGATTTTGTTAAGATGTCATTTTAGATTCAATAGAATCTCAGTTGAAATCTCAGAAGATTTTTGTAGAAATTGATAAGATGACTTCTCTCCTCTCCCCCACAGGGCATGTGTGCTTGCCAGAAAAAGACAGAGGGGGGGGAGTGAAAAATTACCCCCCAACAGGATGGCCACACCACAGTCCCTTCTCTTCTTGGGATTTTGGGCATACATGCAAGCACAGGCCACTGGGTCCAGGACACAAACAGTAGAATCAGCCATGTGAGATCCAGTGCCTTAACCACTAGGCCACCTGCTGGCCTGATAAACCGATTTTTAAATTTATATGAAAATTCAAAGTCTTAGCATAGCTTAAGTAATCTGGGAGAAATAAAAGAGAAAAACTCATAATTAGGACTTATACTACTTGATTTTAAGACTATAAAGTACATACACACATACACACACACACACACACACACACACACACACGAAGCTTATAAACCCCACTGTAATTAAAACAATATGGAATTGATGTAGAGAAAATAGAGTTGATCAATAGAGATTACGGAAATAGATGAGGTCAATTGATTTAGACAAGGGATGCCAAGGTAAATTCAATGGGCAAAGGATAATTTTGTCAATATATAGTACTAAAATAATTGGATACTCATATGTAAATAATAGTAATAAACTGAGAACTTCAAATGATGTAGAAAAAAACTTGAATGGATTACAGATTTATATGTATGAGCTAATGCAATAACATTTCTGAAAAAAAAATAGAAGCACTCTCAATTTGACACAAAGATGGCAAATAAAAATAAGAAAAGATGTCAAACATATTTAGAGAAATGTAAATCAAAATCACAAGGAAATATTACCAAGAACCCACTAGACTGGTTAAAATTAAAAAGACTCATTATACCAAGTAATAGTGACAATGTGGAACAATAAATCTCTTATAGAAAGCCAATGGGAATGCAAAATGGCATAATTATTTTGAAAAACATTTGACAACTCCTTTAAAAATTAAACATACACCTACCATATGAAACATCCATTTAACTCCTAGGTAATTAGCCAAGAAAACTGAAAGCATATGTTTACACAAACTTTAGAATGTTCGTACAAGCTTTCAACAGCGAAGGGTAAATAAATTGGAATAAATTGTTATAAACACCGACATGGACAGAGCTCAAAATAATTGTGCTGGGTGAAATAAATCAAACAAAAATTGGTACAATTCTATTTATCTAAAATTGTGGACAATGCAAACTGGCAAAAGGAAGTAGATGAGGGATGGCCTGAGAATGGGGCCGGGGTGGGAAGCAGAATTATAAAGGGGGATGAGGAAAGTTTAGGAGTGATGGATACGTTCATTATTTTGATCATGGTGATGGTTTCACAAGGTATTTATTTGTGCAACTTATCACACTGAACATTTTACATATGTGTAGCTTACAACTGCACCTCAATAGGACTTTAAAAACAAAATGTGAGTCTACAACAAGTTACTTTATGATCTCTAAATATTTTAGAAGTTCTTTCCAAAGTATCATAAATAAAACAAACTATACCTTCTATAACAAAAGCTAAACTAGGCAACAAAATATCAGTCTTTTTACCTGAAGGTTCCTCTTCAGTGACAATGATCTGTCCAGTCCAGGGGGCTGAAGGGCGACCTACAGAGAGACAAATGTAAAAATCAACAAACATTCAGCAATGCAGTTTCAACTACACCAACTAGTTGATAAACTGACCAGGTTAATTACAAAGGGAATTTGTTAATAGTTTACTTATGAATTTTCCTAGTGAATTGTATATAACATGTATATGGTATTATAAGGGACAGACCCTCTGTCCACAACAGACACTCAATCTACTAGAACCTTGAATATGCCTGAAATTGAGTTGACATTTCTGGAATTGCACTTACACAAGCTAGGTAAATAACCTGCATTCATTAACTGTTCAAGATGAATTTCTTGAAGTATTGAGGCTTTCTTGTCTCCTCTTAATGTGTTTGGGAGAAACATTTCTGGAACAGTTGTAAACCCCATAGTTATTTATGATATAATGAAGGTGAAAGAAGCAGGAGTGCTGATTATGCAGTAAAGCTCAGCAAAAGCAATTTTTCCCATAATGTTTTAAAAGTGTTATCTACAAAGGAAATCAGTTTAGATCCTGGGTATGGAACATGGACGAACCAGATAGAAAGTTAAAGAGGAAATTCATTTCTGTGATCTCATAAACATCAGAAAGGCACTTGGTTCAACTCCTGGTTTAAACAAGGGACTTTTCATCAGAAGCAAAAACAGAAAGGTTGATAAAGAAGATTACTTTAAATTCAAATAAATCTTATTTTGATTGGAATTTATAAATGAGACGTAAATGAAAGTAGGAGGTGGAATTTGCAAATTTAGTAAAGAAGGAAGTCAGATGGTTGGTGAAGTGATTGGAGAGCAATCAAGGAGGCTGATTAGATACAGCCTGACATAATTTCACATAGATTTTTTTTTCCTTTTTAATACTAGTGGTACAGGTTTTTTTTCTCAACAGAGAACTTTACGTTCTTCTGTCTGTTCCATGTTTCTTCCCATTGCCCCTTCCACCTGCCATCTGCCACCTACTCCCCTCCTTTACATTCTCTGGTACCTACACTTATCCCATCTACTATCATATAGTCAGGTATTTCCTTTTCTGTTATAGAGTGCAGACATTTGGCATTTCACATAGATTTTTATGATGCCACTATATATACTTAAGGTAGATAAATGAATATGGCATAGATCAGTAGTCCGCAACTATGAAGGGTTTGCCCCCCTCCCCCGCAAAGGACAGTTGACAGTGTCTGGAGACATTTTTTTTTAAATCAACTGCAGGGGAGAGAGGGTGCTACCGGCATCCAGTGGGTAGAGATAAGGTTGCTATTAAGCATCCTAGAATGCACAGGACATCCTTCTCCACCCCGAACAAAGGATGACTGACCTAAAATGTCAGCAGGACCAAGATTGAGAAGCCTGGAATAGACTTAAATGTTACTATCTAACTATTCTTGTACTGTCATTTCATTGTCCCTGTTATTAGGGATGCTGTATGGGTTCCCATGAAATAAATGCAGGGCATAATTCATGTGCCATGGTTTTGACATTAAGATTAGGAAGCTTGGGATCAGCAGATGGCATAATGGTTATATCACTGGGCTCCCACGTAGCCGACTGCAGTTCTAGTCTCAGACCCGGAGGCTTAAAACTCATGCCAGGAGTATGTCCATGTGTGCCCAAGATGCCAGGAGAAGAATGGAGAAGGGATTGCGGCGTGACCATCTTCCCTGAGGGGTAATTTATTGCTTTCTGTCTCTCTGTCCTTCTCTGTCTCTTTGGCAAACGCATGCGCCCTATAGCAAAAATCTCTCTTAAAAAAAAAAAAGATTAGGAAGCTAAATATATAACAAGATTGTTTTTGAAGGTCTAGCATGGAAACTCAAATACAGTCTAGGTATAATATAAATCTGTTTTAATTTAATACAGAAAAACTCACTATATTAAGATATTATTAATGTTCTTTTTCAATTATTTAATTTTATTTAGTATTACTATTATTTTTTAAATAATTATTTAATTTTATTTATTCATTCTCTCTTTTTTTTTTTTTTTTTTGGACAAAGCCTTTATGCCAAATGCTGATCTCTCATTCGTTTATTTTTTTTAATTTGACCAGAGAGACACAGAGAGAGAGATTGAGAGGGAAAGTGAGAAAACAAGCCACCGGGTCCAGGACTAGAACCATGGTCAGCCATGTGGGAGTGTCCAGTGCCTTAATCACCATACCACCCGCTGGTCCTGAGATATTACTGTTGTTCTAAGGGTAGATTTTTAAGTAATACTAAATAAAATCTACCCTTATAATATTAATGTAATACGTTTATTTCTTTAACAGACAAGATTGATGAAAAGCAGGGGGATTCCCAGGCCTGACAGAAGATTAAGTACTTGGCAACTCTGATTTCATCCCTAGGGAGGATGACCATGCCACAATCCCTTCTCCTCCATTCTCCTCTTGGGATCGTGGGCATTCTCACACATGCACATAGTGTGAGTTTAAGCCGCTGGGTCTGGAACTCGAACCACAGTCAACTACGTGGGAATCCAGCTATGTAACCATTATATCATCTACTGGTCCCAACAAAAAAACCTGTTTTTTTTTTTTTTTTTTAAAGTAGGGTGCCCTCCTCCCAGAATTTTCTGATTAGAAAAGATAAATAAATAAAAAGTCTTTCTTATTCTCCTCTCCCTCTAGTGGAAGGGAGAGGAACAGTCTTGAATGAAGCCTATTCTTGCAGTTATTTTCAAAAGACTTACCAATGATATTGAAAAATGAAACATGCTTCTTAGTTTTGATATAGACAATGTGCACTCGCCAGGGAGTGAAAGAGGAACAGAGGACATCATCCCCCCCCAGAGGGTGGGGGGGGGATGGCTATTCTACTTCATTCTCCTCTGGGATTTGGGGCATTCATGCACACATGCCCAGGGTATTTTCCAAGTCTCTAGGTTCAGGAGGACTCAAACCACAGAGATGGCATGTAGGATCCAGTCACCTTAACCTCCATGTCACCTGCTGGCCCAAAATGTGCTTACTTTTAAGTCTAGCTTTCTCAGCTGGATCCAGAGCAGCCACAGGCTCAGAAACTCGAGATGGTAGGCCTATTCCAGTTTTATTCACAGCTCGAACTCGGAATATATAGGAACGACCTTCTATCAGTCCAGTAACAGGAAAACGCGCAAACTTCACAGGTGTGTCGTTGCATTGAGACCAGCTATCCGTGCCCACCTCACATCTAAGGAAAAGAGAGTGATTGACAGAAATGTTAAAAGAATAGATACATTTATAGCTCCAAAGCTGCAAATTCACCCAGTTGCTTCAGATTTTCTCTGTCAAATATCCAACTTAGGTGGGGCTCACCAATTATTTAACTGTGGACTGACTTCCATTTAGGTGCAATGCCTCTTCTTTAACATGAAAAAAGAAGCCTCAGACCCTTCTGGAAATTATTTAAAACAGCAACAGAGGGCCCTTGTGTCTCAGCAAGAAGAGTTTAAAAAATTTTTTTTAATTGTCAGAGGATGCATATACCCACCAGAGAGAGACAGGGGTGGGAGTGGAAGGAGAAAGAATTTCCCAGTGGGGTGTGGTCACACAACTATCCCTTCTCTTCCATCTCTCCATCTTCTCAGGCTCCTGGGCACCCACACATGCCCTGCATGGCTTTCAATCTGCAGGGACCAGGACTCAAACTGCAGCCAGTGATGTGAGATTCAGTCCCTTTAACCACTTGGCCACAGGGTGGGTCTTCAGCCAAGCTTAAGAGGATGAAAGAAGGCAGATACCTACAACCTTTACATTGGAGGGGCTTATGGGGAGGATCCTCCAAATGTCTCTCTGCCTATTCCTTCGATCCTACCATTAGTGACTTTGTCTTTTTTTAGATATTTTCTTTTAAACATGGAAGTATTGCTGAGAAAGTAGGCCCCTAAAAGATAGCTCTGTGCACTATAGTTTGGAAAACAGCTCACTGCATCCTCTCACTTGATGGTCACTACATCCTGTATGGTTGGAAACAGGAGCAGGTTAATGTAATATGCTTATTTCTTTAACAGACAAGATGGATGAGAAGCAGGGGGATTCCCAGGCCTGACAGGAGAAGATTAAGTACTTGGCAACTCTGATTTCAAATTGAGTGCTTTACAGAGCTTGTACCTGGAGATGGAGTGAGTTAGTCCCCTGGAGACAATATGACAGTTCATATCATGCTGTTGCCTAGTCAACAGAGCTTCAGGGGATCAATGTGTGCTTGAATTATGCAGCATTAGGACTAAGTAACTCTGGTCATTTTTTTTTTCTTCTTAATTTGCTATAGGGCACATGCACCTGTCAGAGAAGGGGAGGAAGGGGGCGAGAGAGAAAGCATTCCCCAGGAGATGGCCACACTGCAATCCCTTCTCTTTCATTCTCTTCTCATGGATTTAGGACATGCTTGCACACACATCCGGCATATTTTTTCAAGCTGTCAGGCCAGGGACCCAGCTGCCTTCACTGCCACATGTGTGGTTGGCTCTAATAATTTATCAGTAGAGCACAACATTTTCAGTTTATACCACATCCCTGACATGGCTCTATGTCTCAAACATGTAATTCCCAAATGAATCTCATGGGTGCAGGGGTAGCCAATGGCAGTACAAAGGTGACTGGCATGGTGAGTTTCTCTTCCTTTCCTCACTGTCACCTTCCATTCTTTGCTACAGACAACAGACATTTTCCTCAACATTATATAAAGTGCTATCAAATATAGCTTCAATCCTTTTGTTTATCCATTTCCCCTATATCTTTTCTTTGTAGAAATTCTGGACCTGTTATGGGCAGGGCATAGTAGGGAGCTGAGAAAGGACAATTTTTCAAGTGACCCCTGTTTTTAGAGATTCTGACTGACAGGACTCTCCCTCTTCCCTTTGCAGGGCATTCTCTAACCCTCATGTGGGGAGAAAGCAGGTGGAGAGCCTCTGTTCTAGAGACTTCTATAGCATGTTAAAGCAGAAAGAGCACAGACCACAGACCTCTAGCCAGGCTGACATGTGAATTCTAGTCCTGCTCCTTACTGACCTTAGGCAAGTTAGTGTGTCCTCACTGGCATGTGGTCTTGAGCCAGCTCCTCACTTCCTACTTCTAATAATAGGACCTACCTCAAAGAGTGGTTATGGGCTAGCGCCTATTATCTGCAGTGTTTAGAACAGTGCCATGTTTAGTAGTATATGTTTACTAAGTAGTAGACATGATGTGGTTATTTGAAAATATGGGGGGGAAAAGGCTAAACTTAACAGTTTTTTCTTTTTTCTTTCTTTTTTTGGAGAGATTTTTGCTATAGGGCGCGTGTGCTCGCCAGACAGAGAGAGACATTAGAGACAGAAAGCGAGAAATCACCCCCCGGGGGGATGGTCACGCCTCAATCCCTTCTCCTCCATTCTCCTCTCGGGATCTTGGGCACACATGCTCACGCGCCTGGTGTGAGTTTTAAGCCACCGGGTCCGGGACGTGAACCACGGTCAACTATGTGGGAGTCCAGCGACAGCCATTACGCTAACTGCTGGTTCCCTAGTTTTTCAATACTAAATGATGAAATAATGTATAAGTATTATTTTATATATGGTTAAAAGTATACTTTATTATAAACGTTTCTCTGCATGGCATTGAGCTCAGTTGGCATGTATCTATTTATTGCTGTAAATTTGAGATTTAAATATACTTTGTACAAACTCACTGTGCAATGGTGACACAGATGATCTGTCCCTAGTGGCTGCAACAATTAAGACGTCACTACCCAATAATGAAAAGAGAAGTGGAGCAGCTATGTGAACAGAAACTAAGTCAGAGAATAGTGTACGTAGGCCAAAATCTAACTATGTTGTCTGTGTCCAAGTTCACTGGATAATTAATCTAGGAAACCCAGTTACTATCAATTTAAAGTCACCAAGAGTGGAGAATGTAAACTACAAGAACTTGTAGACACAGCATAATTTAATACTATGGATTTTTTGTTATTTTGTGGTATAGCTTGAAATCAGATCTTGCAATATAAACAATATTTCGTTGTTTTCTTAAAGTCAATATTCTTAAATTACTGACATACTAAGACTATGACTGTTAAATATATTGAGTAACAGTTATTTTATATCCAAAGTGGCCTGTATTAAGTCTACAGATTTGGAGCATTCTTGCCAAATCCTGACTTGAGTTCATAGTCAAACTGAAAAGCTCTATCTTTGAAATTTAGGTAAATATATATAAATATACATAGAGAAACAAAGACAAATAAAGAAAGAGAGAAATTGCGAGAGACTAAGATGGAGAGACAGAGAAAGAAATGAAGATCAGAAAAGACTATGTCATCTAAAAATGATGGGAGAAATCAAACAAGCATTTCTATCGCCAAATCATTCTCAGTGAAGTTAGACCAAACACTAACTTATCAATAAAATATCCCAAAATAGGACTCCCTCCATCTACAGCTGGCTGTTTCCAAGAGATGATGATGTAATCTTTATTGGCATCCAGGCACACCACATCCAGAGGAGAGGCTGGGGCTCCTTCGATCTCTGCATCGGCATCTGTGGAGACAGAGGAGGGTCCTGTTAGCCCTCTCGGCCATGCTCTGACAGCTCGGCAGGCTGAGGTCCTGGTGCAATGTGTCTTTTCACATCACCCCAGTGGCCTACATCTTTGGCCCCAACAGAGCAAGCTGCAAAGCTTGTAATTAGTTTACCAACATAACCATGTGTGCTTTTCAGCTTCAGAAGAAAGAACATCATGTTAGAAACTAGGAAGCTCTGAAAAAATCCAAGCCCTTGCTGTCCAACATGTTCCAAAAGAAAATAAATATAGGCATGTCAGAGACTGTCATGAGATAAGTCAATTCTGCCAGAAAGTCTGTTCTTAGGACATCGATTGTGCAATGTTACGAAAAAACTATGAGAGGCAAACAATCTCTTCTGTTAGCTTCTGGATGCATGCATCATAGACAAGAATCAAGGTGATTTGCCCACCCTTGTGCACCGTCATTAAAAAAAAAAAGTTTGTTATAAGGGCATGTGCTCACTGGAGAGAGACAGAGAGAAAGAGAGAGGAGTCAGAGAGAGAAAATGAGAAAACACCCATCCGGTAGAGGAGAGACAGCCATGCTGCAATCCCTTCTCTAGACTCCATCCCCCCTCAGGATTTTGGACGCACATGCACGTGTGCCTGTCACTGGGTACAGGACTTGAACCATGTAATTGACTACGTGGGATCAAGCTGCCTTAACCACCACACCACTGACTGACTTGGCACTACCATTTTGAAAGAGAAAGGAAACAGTCTTTTTAATCAAACGATCATTCCCAAACTGAAGATACTTAAGAAAGAAACTGATGCAGTACTCACATCTGAGCTAAGTTTATCTGAGTTTATAAAGTCCAAAATAATACAATAAATGGAGGACAGTGACTGTTCCTGAAATAGGATCCCCTGACAGTGTGATTTACACCCACACAGATATATTAGTGAATTGGGGATGGTTTTAGAGTGATAGGAAGGGGAATGAAAACATTCAGTCAGAAACCTTTCAAGTAAGAATGATAGAGATAAACGGTAGGGACCCTGGGGAACCCACATGTGCCAATTCCCCCTGGCATTTGACCAACCCTTTCATGATCGGAGTTCGTAGGAAAAAAGGCTGAGACATGTCGGAGCCACTTGCCTAAAGGAAAACACTCTTGTTAACTGAACAAACACTTTCTTTTCCTGTGATCTACACTTTTGTAACTCTTATTTTACCAAGACATTTGATAGCACAGAGAAACATTTGTACACTTCTGAATGTAATAAGTTGACATTATCTGTGAAGCGCTCAACTCACATGGGTTTTGAACATTGTTTCTTGCCCTGTGGACCAGTAGGAAAGTGTCTCTAGGTAAGTATCTCCTATAGAAGTGCTATAGGAGAATGTAACTAAGAATCCCTGCATGGCATGCGATGGGAGACGAGAATTTTGGTGCAGAGAAACTTTTTTCCTTCCATTCTTTGAGAGTACTAGACTGGGAAGAGAAGTGCTGCTGATGGTGGAGGAGGTGAAGCAGAGCTACAGTAGAGGTAGGAAATCTGAGGCTGCCACGCCTGAGTGGCAGAAAAGGTATGCTAGAAAGGTACTCAGCCATGAAGGGAATGGCTGGCAACCTCTAGCCATATCCCTTTGCTTAAGGCCTATAACATAACAACCTGCAACCCCTGCATGGACAGAGTGGATTTGGTCCGCTGAGCATCCATTGCATGAATATATGATAGCAG